GAGGAGCTTAGAAAAATCGAGGACTTGTTTTGCGAAAACGGGTATCCTGGTAGGTGTATTGCAAATAATATTGCCGAGTGACCGAGAAAACTCACCTCACTGACTGCTTAAAAGAGAACTCTGTTACTCAAGGTCCCTTTTCATGTGGGCGCTTTGGGCAGACTCCTAAGGCTACACCCTGATCAGGCCATCTCGCGAACCTTCCCAGCAGCAAAGCTTCGAATATTATTCCTCACCAACCATATTCTACGCGGAGAAGTTAAGGATAGGCTGTCATCTCAGACCACATCAATGTGCATCAACTCATCCACTTGCTCCTGTGGAGCAGGTTACATAGGTTGCAGGAGTCGTTGTCTACGCAAAAGAATACAATAACACCTTCCTACATGGCTGCGAAAAGGAGCGTGAACGGCGTCGTCATTACACATGGAGCTGATTCCGGGCACCGTGTAGACCCCAGCGAGGCTTCTTGCGTGATTTATAAGGTCCCATCCAGCTATCCCAAGCTACTGGGTCAGCGCCTGTTAGCACCAGCAGAAGCGGCTGTTGCGGGAGAATCTCGTTCTGGCTCCGTGGTCAGAGGTAGACCAACTACGTGTACCTACCCGCTCTTTCCGAGCTCACCCTGGCCTTGGCATTGATTATAATTACTTTCCCCATTTTGAAAGACAACATTTAATGAAGTTCTCTAAGCACTGGCATGGTTAACTTAACCCCGTTCCCATATAAATATATTGGTCTGACGAGAATTTATTGAAAGCAAAGCTATGTACACCAACTAGTCTTCTGAATACTGCCATGGGAATGTCCGTAGTTATAACTGGTGATTTTCCTATCATCTCGGATATTACTGGTATAAGAAGTACCGGTAAAAATAAAGAGATGACCATTTCTGACCATAAGCCCTCGTCCGTCCGCCATGTCCAGGCCGGGTTTTGCATGAACTGTGTATGATACACGACATCCTTGGCCACTAAGCTTTGAGTCCTGGGTTCAGCCGCTGAACCGCGCAATCTGGTCAGTTACGATCGGAAGTACCAACTGTGATAGACCCATAAATCACCCGACCTCAGGTCCTGCAAGCGTGGGGTTGCACATGGACTGGTGACGGTTAACAATGGTAGGGTGCGTTCACTGATCGTTCGTACGGAACTCATTCGTTCCGTTGTGCCTTACGGGCTCTCTCTCGAGCCCAATCAGCAGCCGCACAGCGGCGCATGGTAAAGGCAGAATGTTATTACCGGCAAGACGAGGGAGGCTGGAATGGCCATTTCTGGCTTATTTGCCGTCGTCAGCCAGTCATACTCAGCCCCGAAGTGTGGAACACCTGAGACTCGCACTCGTGACCTGTTAGTTAGAAGCCTTACGCCTCTAATTATTGTGTATTCGCGATCGAAACCAACAGAATAACGATCCCGTGGCTCAGTGGTTAGAGGCGTTGGACTTCTAACTAACAAGTTGCGAGTTCGAGGCCCAGGCTTTCCACACTTCAGGGTTGGGTATGACTGGCTGACGACAGTTAATAAGCCAGAAATGGCCATTTCAGTCTCCCTTGTCTTCGTCGACAATAACATTCTGACGGGTAACAAGTTGGAGGTGGCCATCCCAATATCCCTCCTCTGTACGAACTTCCCGCACGTATTCCTAGTCGCTATGAACCTCCCTATGAGGATTCTAACTTGAACCCCAACACACAAGGGGACTAATAGGTCCTGCAGCCTGATTGGTTAACACCCTCCCACTTTGTTTGGTTAAAGCTGATTGTGGGCCTAGCTACAATCTAATCATAGAGCCCGCGTTGTCAGGTATGATCAAAATCTCCGCCACCTGAATTTGCTATAATGTACTACATGATAAACTATGGTGGACACATCTGTTGACTCAACAAAAGTGCCGATATTAGATCCGTTTTAAGTTGTGGCAGTTCACGCTTCCGTGCTCTCCGTCGCTTTGTCTAGCTGCTCTTCTGTCCGCCTCACGCTCCTTGCCGATTCGCGGTTGGGACCGCGCGAAGACTGTCACTAGCCTCGCGAGAAGTTGGAGCCAATCAACGCTGCTCTTCCTCTGATTGGCCGGCTGATACTGAGACAGAGCGAAGGGCGCACACAGGCTCTGAAGGTTAATAAAATCAACAGCGTCCACAGGACAGCATGCGGTAACTGCTTGCAGCGCCCCTTGTACGCTCTTACATGTTCGTAAAGTTGTCCGACTCAGCCCGTCTTCCCTGACTTCTGATTTTGTGGTCCTGGGTTGTCGACCATTGAAAACTCCCCAATCACAGCAAAATTCACACTAAAAGCCCATTTTCAAGTCTGAGTAACTTTGCTAGTAGAATTACAAGGCAAACCGCATGTACAAATGCAGTTAAAACTATTAATCTGTCGGGTACCTAACGTCCCATAGGTCAGAAGTCTTTAAATTCATTTGCGCAAAGTATTAGTAAGGAGGAGTCATATATGCTGGATTACGCTTTCGAATAGGCAGCAAAAGTTATCAAAGTTTGTTTTCCCTCCCGATAGTTTTACTTTCTGTTGGAGGTCCGCATATGTCAGATGGTTTTACTAAAGTCTCCTGTTAACGGGGTGAAGGCCGTCCTGGATCCTTCTAGTCAAAGCTTTCTCTCACGTCAAAAAATACGGAACTATTTACAGTCCTTTACAGTTGTATGATTTTTTGACATCGGAATAACTGTACTATTTAGGGGAAGCACCAAAGACTTCGTGAAAAGACCATTAACTCAGTTCTACAAAGCAGGATTGTTAACCTGAATAAAAACGCTGGCCTCTACTGTTTAGGGAACAGCGGCTGAGAGCGTGACCTTTCAGAGGGGAAAAAGATACCAGCCTCCTTCAATAGCTTTTATTTGCTTAGACAAGCATACAGTAAGCTTCAGGTGGTCAGGTTTTTTGTGAATTTATTTATTCCAAAGTGTGTTAAAAAAGAAGCGTTGCTTTCAACATTCCCTCCCTTCTCTCGTGCTTGACAGTTCAGTCGCCATCCTTCTGACGCCAGGCCGTCAGGAGTGGACATATTCGTTTGGTTCGACGTACCAAATAAAGAATGGCTGTCTTAGCATTGCGCTTGGAGATGCTTCTTTGGAGTCCAGTCTGCAGAAGTGCCAGCACCTGCCGCTGGTAGAGGAGGTTCCAGTCCATGGCAAAATCGGGCCAGTGCTTGGCTACGTAGTAAATGTACAGTGGCCAGTCCCGAGCTGCCAGGCTGTCCTTCCTGTCCGCGATCTCGGGTACCCACATGAGGAGGCAGTCGATGGGACCTGTGCAGGGTATGGAGTGCAGGAGGTAGCCCATCACTCCATGGTAGAAGACATATGTGTCCCGATTGCAATCCATTGCGTCCAGTAGGGCAAACGTGAGGTTACAAATGAGCAGTTGTCGGGAATACTGGTGCAGCCGGGAGAAGAAGGGATAGGAGCAGACGAGGTAGGCGAGGACACAGCAGCCCTCCTCTCGTACACTGGCGTAGCGGTTGTGCAGAGTGAGAAACAGGGGCGGAAGCCAGAAATTCAGCTTACAGACGAGCAGGTCTCCAATCAGAGGCCAGAACATGATGCCCTGGAGGCAGGCTAGCAGTCCCATCCAGGCTCCACTGCCGGGCAAGGTGCCCGCGGGTCCCCTCAACAGGCGGCAGAGTCGTAGCACGAGGGACTTGCAGAGGCGTTGAACCTTTCCACCCTCATCTTTCTGGAGTTCGTCACTGAGACGAAGCCGGTAATTCATCCGCTCCATTTGCTTGCACCTTAGGTCTCGCAGCGCTTTGAGCTCGGGCAGCAGACTCTCAGGTTCCCTCTCCGTGGAAATCTGCTCCCAACGTTTCTCAAACAGAGGCCTTATGTAGGAGCCAAATTCGGCAAACTTAAAGGCAATCTCCTCGAGAATATTCTGGCTGGGGTTTCGAAGACTCACATAAAAGGCCAGCTCATTGGCAATGTCGGCGTTGTAGTTGCTCAAGGCATTACTGCCCTCGTTTGCTCCCATATCAGTGGCTTCAGCCTCCTCTATTTGACGAAGTCGTAAGGATTTTGCGCGTTGCTTCTGTTCACGCTCCACCTCGCTGAGCTGGGAGATCCCACGCAGTTTATTCGGCTTGGGGGCAGAGACCTGGCGCATCATTTCCGGAGGGCATTTTGGTCCACCATAGAGAAGACCAGAAGTGAACATTTCCTTTGCCGCGTCTGTAATCAGACGTGACTTGCTCTCCGAGGGGTGGCGGAGGGTTAGCATTGCGTCTGAGGCCTCTGCGAGTTCGAGAATTTCTTTGACGAAGACCTGCAAGTCCTCCGGCAGAATGTCTCTCTTGCGCAGTACCATTTTGAAGAGCATTGGGTGTTTTACCACGGTGGCAAGGTAGACTTCCTTCAGATGTTCTGGGTCGCGAACGGCTAGAGGCATCTGGAGCACATAGTCCTTCACCATGCAGTCTAGCAGGACCTCCGCCTTGGGTTCTTCGGACTCCGCGAAGGCGACCAGGTAACGTCGAAGTTGTTCCAGACCACCAGCTACACTCGCGAAGCGTTTGCTAAGCCCATATTTGCCCAGATTTTCGTCCTTTTCGGCCTCACCCGATGCGGCAGAGCCCGCCGCCACCATCGATGCAGACTCGAGGTTCTCGATCCAGGACATTGGATTGGGTGCCGCTGAGGCTATCAATTGCTAGGAAAGAGGGGAGACTGTTCAACTGGATCCACAAACAGCCCACTTTAACTGCTCAGAATTTCAAATGATTGATGATAAATGTGAATTTTTAGGGCTTCAGAAAGAATAGGAATAATTCGCGCAGATGGGCAACGCGTAGCCGTAGCCCAGGCCAGAGCAACCTTCGCTCTTTCGGAAGGTCAGGAATTTAATTTTACTTCGTTGATATTTTGGCAGATTTTGAATAATTCATATTGAACAACTGTGAAAAACTCGGCGCCTCGGTGGAATTCGAACCCACGCAGTAAGGGGGAAGGCTTTAGTACAGCCAACGCTCTAACCACCTGAGCTACGAGGCCTCGTAGCTCAGGTGGTTAGAGCGTTGGCTGTACTAAAGCCTTCCCCCTTACTGTGTGGGTTCGAATTCCACCGAGGCACCGAGTTTTTCACAGTTGGGTCAATTTGGATTTAATTTTACAGTTTTCCAGGTTTTCAATCTAGAAGAATCCCAATATTTTTTTCAGTGCTGCTTACTGTTCAGCAAATGTGATCAGCGACCATTTCCTACTCCATTTGTGTAATTTCGCTCTTGTAATAAATCAAGTTGTCAAGTGGAAAGTATTTGCCCCCCGGCTTTGGAATCAATGCAGAAAACATAGGTCATCTAGATGAATTAATTTTGCCAGGACATTTATGCGACATTGGTGCGACGCTGGACATGTAAATCTCTGGTGAGTTGTTGTTTGGACTAGTGGCTATGGAGTGGACCACCACGGCGCGAGCTCGGCCGTGGCATCCACCCGGTCTTCTTTCTTGACACCAGGCTCGGGAGGAGGAGGAGGAGGAGGAGGAGGAGAGAGTGTGTGATAGATGCAGCGCAAGTCTACAGTCACTGTAAACTAATTCACGAGCGAGTCATCGTGCCTGCTTCAACTTGTTGTGGAGCAAACGATGGACATCATCTGATGTGACGGTCGAGCAGTCAAGATTTTGAATCTCTAGGGAAATTAATGCGCGTGTTTGGACTAAATCCTTCGAAAAGAACGTTTTTGCGGCTCGCCCAGAAAGTTGAAATTTATATTTAAAGGTCAAATGATTCCCGAAGTGCACGTTTGAAATTAATAAAGGTAAATGAATTACAGTTAGGACAACTGTCAGAATCCCTGACTATTCATGCTAACTCAGAGCATAAACGATAGGGGGGGGGGGGGTCGGATTGGATCACGCACTCTCAAAATGTGTTTTTTACTGTCAAATTGCTCTTATCATATTCAGGTGTAAGAGGTGATTAAGTTGCCTTATTTAACTTCACGTCATCTGACCAACCTTCTGCCAACCGATGCATGCATCCTCAAAACCGGTCATGTAGGTCCACATGAGCACATCCTTCTCGTCATTCGGACTGTCTATGACGAGCTTCTTTAACGCCCCACTTTTGACCTTCGTCTTTGCAGTAGCCTTAGTTTCCTGCTTGCTCTGGGAGGGCGGTTTCGCGCGTGTCCTCTTTCTCTTGCTCTTCTTACCCTTCTCATCAAGGTTTGGCCCGCCGCTCACCGCCTCCGACTCGCTCTCCTCCCTCTCACTCATTGGCCCTGTAGCCGAGAGGATACTGGTAGTGGGGACAGCCGATTCTTGCGTCTGATTGGTTGTGGCCTCCGGTGAACTCGTTGTCACCGCTGTGCCCTCCGAGCGCAGCTGCTCACCTGCCTGGGGCGGTGTTGACAGTGACTCCGACGGATGGTCCGGCTCCACTGCCGCTGACTGCTCCGGCTGTATGTCAGAGACCAGCTCCTCTGTGGCTGCTCGTCTAGCTCGACTTCTTTTTCGTTGTCGTTTCAGCCACCGATCCCGGGCCAGAGACTGATGCTTAAGGCCAGCAATGAGACGGGGATCCGTGAATGGATGCTCCTTGTTGGCCTTCACGAAGTCGTATTCATCGTATTCCACGTCCGTGGAAGCATCAGAACCGATCATGAAAAGGCTGGAAAAATCCGACTTCATGTCCAGAGAGTCACGCATCAAACTACACACCTCAGACCGCTCAGGCTCTTTGGGCATTTTTTCATCACGTAGGCATTTACTGGTAGGTAAGGAGCTATCCCAATTCCAAATACGTTCATTGTCATCGTGCACAAATTTGGAGTCCTCGTGCCAGTAGGTTTGCTCATCATCAGAGCTGGAGATGGGTTGAACGGACTCTCGAGCCATTGCTTTTAAATAGTCTCTGCCCATGTTCTCCGTGAAGGCTTCACAGAGTCTGAAAAGAGCAGCCTGATGTATGAGACTTGCGTCGTCGGCCGTACAGGCACTGTCCTGTCGAATTTTTGACCAGAAACCCATCGAAAAGGTTGTCTGTTCATTGATAAACTTTGCTAGTGGGTCCTGCGGTAGCTTCTTCAGTGGCAAGATGCTCCTACCCGGTACTCTTACTTCTGACAGACTGGTCGGCAGCCGAACCCACTTCTTTGCGGGTTTATAAAAGAACTTTGCCTCAATTTCACGTTGAGAGGGGGTATCGGAGATTCTTTCTACTGGTATCTTTGTGTTCTCCGGCCAGGGAGCCGATTCGAAGCCCTTCCATGTAAGTGACGTTATCGAGCTGCGATTGTGCGTGTTGTGGTCAACTGCGGACGAATTTGTGCACTTTCCCGACTCCACAGCCTTCTCGACAGACAAACAATTGTTTTGATCTTTGTCAACTCCTGAAGCCGATTGGTAGGAGGGATTCTCGTCCTGGATCCCGTCACCCACCCTGTTTGCTAACCGCTGAACTCTCTCTCGTCGGAAGGAGAACTTTTCCTGACGTAGTATCTCATCAAGCATTTGTTCGGGCGTCTTTCGGTTCTGTGTGGTTGCTGTTGATGTCAGTGGTGGTGGTGATTGTTGTTTTTTTGATTCATTTTTCTCCTGTTTTTCATCGGAAGCCTCCTGAATGGGCAAAATGCCCTTGATGGACTCAGATTTCGCTACCCCAACCTCTCCTTTAGAAACGGCCAGTGAAAATTGTCCATGTTTTTGCACAGGTTCGATTTCTCTGCTACCATTCAGCTCCAAGTTGAGCGTAGAAGAATGGCGCTTTTCAGCCAGTAGCTGTCTTTTCTTTATTTCAATTGCAGCACTTTTGAGATTTCGGGGCCGTCGTTTTGCGGGTTGGTGGGGTAGTGGTTTTGGGAGAGGATTGGATGCGATGCCTACTTTCGGTCTGTTCTCGAGTGTGGAACTCCGGTGAGTTAGGAGAGGTAGCTTGGCAACTCCTGGGGAGGAAGAGATTCTTGAGGTTCGGATCTGGGGCAACATCTGAAGTGAATTAAATTGGGCAGAATTTGGCGGGTTGGTTTCTTCTTGAGCTCAGTAAACAGCTGCCGCTCCCCCAGAACGCTAGAAAGCCCGGCGCATATCGATTGGCCCGTTTGGATTTCTGACCTTGAAACTTGACTTTTGGGAGAGCGAGTGCGATTGGCGTCAAAATAACAGCTTGAATTCAAAGATCTGTTGGTGCATGATCTTAACGCATAGTAATTTAGCATGTGGTCATGTTCATTGTAATACAAACAAAACGCCGACTGTAATGCTTCAAAATATAAAATAAGACCAGAGTATTGAGAATAACAAATAAAGTGCATTCAGTTGTTATGATAAAAGGATGCATATTCACAAGGCGGACAAAGGCGAGTGAGGTTGCAGCTGCAATTTCCGGCCTATTGACCGTCATCAACCAGGCGTAACCGAAACGTTTTTCTATCCGCGAGGCTCGAAACCGCGCGCAATCGGTCAGAAGTCTAACGCTCCAATCACTGAGCCGCGGACTCGTTTTCCTGCTGATTTTGATCGGATATATTAACTGATACAAAGGGCCCGCACAGATTGCACTACGAGCAAATAACTTTGACTTTGATGCCTTGGAATTTAAAATCATAGCACAGGATTGCGCAGCTCGAATAAACTACCTTCGATTTCCATGCTCAAAGGAAGCAGATTGGCTATGAGGTCTCCTAACTCAAGACTTATGCAAGATGAATAGGAAGTAACCTGTATCCCTGCTTGAGGAACAGTTGACTGCCGGTACTTTTGCATGGCAGAGATCTCAAGGTAATTTAGGTTTTCAGACTTCCCCTTTGCCGAAAGCCGCATGCTGTTCTTTCCGTTGGTTGATAGAAATGGTTCACGGGAGGGCTGTGAAGTTGAAGTAGAACTAATACAATGGCTCTCAGCTCGAGCCTGCCATCATCGGCACGGCAAAATCAGGCGTCGTGCTACCTGTTTTGTCAAGACAGAGTGTGGGAGGAACCACTTCTCCCAGGAATTTCTCCGAACCTCTCTCAGTTGTAACGGTGTAATAGCAAAATTAAATGTGGGTAGATCTGTTGAGCCTGACCCTTAAAAAGTACTCTTCCAGCCAGTTCTGTGTGCTCATTGAGGTAGAATCCACCAACAGTGTTATGCACCGCTGTGCTGCACAACGTGCGAGTGAATTCCGTAACGCGATCGGTCAGATATGGTTATTTAGGCGCACCTGAAGAACACAAACCCTAGACACCTGTAATACGGTACCTGTGGTAATAGGGGGTTTACAGGTAGGGCCGGAAAACGCACAGGTGACAAGGTCAAGTAACTGTACTCAAAAAAGCTCTTGGGAATGCTTGGTTTTACTTTGAGCGGTTGAGAAATAGTTGCACTCACCCCTAACTCTAACCTCTAACCCTAATCCCCTAACCGTAAGCCCTAACCCTGAAACATCCAACGCGAACGTTAGAAGGAGACGACAGGCCGAAGGTCAAGAAGAACCACCGGCATTGTGCCGAAAAAAGTAGACGCGGTAACAAAGCAACAAGGCCGTCTACAGAACCCACACCGCAACGCACAGCAGCACCATGCCAACATCATCACACCAACCCAAAATAATTAAGAAGGTCGACAGTATTCTGTCCATCAGGTGCAGCTACAAAACCACATCTTACCATGCAGTTGGTACGCGCCCCTATACCATC